AGCTAACACTAACCAGACACGAACCTAAACACCAACCAGACACGAACCGAACACGAACCCAGACAAGAAACAAACATGAAGCCAACACGAATCTATTACGGACCCAGATACTAACCGACACGAACCCGGACACACGAAACCGGGAACGAACCGGGCACCAACCCGGTCGCGACCCCGGATACCAATCCAAATACGAACCCCCCATACGAACCAAATACAAACCAGACACGAACTAGACCGGAACCTGATACAAACCCTGACATGCGACTGATACGTGGCTTCATTCGATTTACAGAATATTTAGCTGAAATTTCTATCTAGAATTGAAATACCAAGCAACAAAAATTTCATTCTACCACATTAAAACATAGTAAGGCCATCGCTATTAGACGGGTCTTTGCTCATGTATACGGCTCAATGACATTTTCTCTTTGATACAGAATCTAATGGCCTTTTTCTAGTTGCTCCACGTTGCGCATCATGCGTCAAATTGGTGAGCATGTCCTAGGCACACCACTTCGCGAGAAGGTGCTCATGGATTTGAAAGCCGGTATCCAGCGATTCTCTGAGAGAGTTGGAACGCGACGAATGGTTCGATGGCTTGTAAATCTCCTTGATGATTTTGCGGGCGTGATCCGAATCTTCTTCACAAAGGCCCATGAAGGAGAGCAAATGAGAAATCCTTGCCCCTGGATCTTCGTAGCTCCAACATGACACATAAGCCGGGTCAAGCAGGTCGAGCTGTTCGCTCAGAAGAGAAAGAGTCATGGAGACTTTCCGAACTGCGTGAGAGAGATCCTTTTCGTAGGACCTGTCAAGCTCGCTCTGTACTAAGCTTGCGGGCTGCCGCGTCAGAAGTACTATCCGCAAGTCTATCCCAGCAGCTTCAGCCAGCTTGGCCAATGTGAACATGTCTGGATTCTGAAACATTCTGTCCCGCCCACCGAAGTTTGGATACGACATCATGCCACTGGGGCGGGTGATTCCTCCGACGTTCAAAGCAACCACATTGCACCCTGGTGCAGAGCTTAGGTTTTTCTGCATCTCTGACATCAGCTCGACAACATGTTCTGCCGAGGCTTCTCGGACCTGCTCGTCGCTGGAACTGAACAAACCTGGTCCATGTCGGCGATTGAAGAGCTCTTGGGACAAGTCCGCGGAATGGCTTATGGAAAGCCTTCTCAACATCTCCTGCCAGAAATGGTGCCCAGTGCCTTCGAGCCCTGCGAAGAATACGAAGCGGATCTTAGAACTGACCACCTTCTTCGTCACAGCGTATCGGTGAGGGGTCCTGGTCCCTGTATGTGCATTTTGGCTTTGCAGCAAGCTTCGCGCTGCCGCCGCAACACTGACGTCTTCACAACTGTCTCGAACAGCAGCCGGTACAGGGGCTTGACTGGAAACTGCAAGAGCTACGAAGGAAGGCAGACACAGTAAGGCGATCATAGGGAAGGTTCGTTCAATCTGATGAGCAGATTTGAGCTATAGAATGTTGCGGCAGACAGGTTGCTGTATACAGCATAGTGCAGTTGAACCGAAAGAGCGATCGCACCCTACATCTAACAATCCAAAATGATGTTGAGCTTTTCCAGCAGCACCTTGGGTGTTGAGTGGGATATCGCCAAAGACAACGACATTTCGCTTTTCAGCAGACCCAGAAACGGACCAGTCCGCACGATGCTCTGTGATCAAGTTAAATGCCTGTTAAAGCTGCAACATAAGCACCCAGTGGGTCCTCTAATGTGACCAGTCCGTCGCAATGCCTACAGCCCGTCCAAAGGACCTCCTCAATACAGAATGTTGCAGTGACGCTTGTGGGAGACAAACAGGCAAAACCTTGCTAAGAGCTTAAACCTGCAACTGCGCGCCAGAAGGCCGTAGAGCGCTCCTTAAAGACGTCTCCTCAAGCTTTGGGCGTGCATCCCCCAACGCATCGCAAGCCTTTTCATCACTCAGATGTCGCTTGCAAAGCCGGTGGAAACACCTCGCTCGCCGGCCATGGCTGCATTGCCTGAGCAAGGAAGTTGCCATACTTTACTATATTGTAATATATCTTACGATATTGACATATCTCATACTATATCATATCATATTACAGATTTATGTCCAGGCGTCGAGGGCTGACCTCCACTGAAGAAGCAGTCGGCGACAAGCTAGAGAGATAAAGATATGGATAAAGAAATAGATACAGATAAAGAGATGTACTAAAGATCTAGATATAGATATCGATAAAGAGGTAGATATATAGATGCGCACGTCAGAGAGACAAACAAGCAGCACGCGAGATCCTGCGGCGAAACTGGTTGCTAAGTTCTCGCAGAGATCCCGATGAACCAAGGAAGCCGAAGCCAAGGCCAACAGTCAGTCTGAGTACTGTGGTCGGCACCCATCAATTCTGACACGCTTTTCACGCGGTGAAAGTTGATGTGGCCAGAAGTCTGGCAGGCATCGGGTTTAGGGTTTAGGGGTTGGAGAGCTCCAGGTTTGGCTTCAAGCGGTTTTTTGAAGCCCCTGCCCTGTGCTGATGTACTGCAAACAGCGTAGGAGCAAGGCACATGGTCTTTCTGATGGACCGGATCCTGCACTACAAGCCTCCAGGTGCTTCAAAAGTCAAGAGTATTGGGGGGGCCTGCGGCCTTAAGAGTTGGAATAGGATCCTGGGGTCCGTTATGCTAAAATTATAATTGGGAACCCCAAAATTAGTATAGGTAATTATTGAAGCCCCCTATAGTAATCCCAGTGCTTTCAGGTCACAGAAAGACCATAGCACCATGCTCAGCATCCCGCCGCTATGTTATGCGGAAAACTTCAGCTGTTCCCCAAGTCCTCCCCCGAACCTACCGGAAACCCACACCTATGTCCGCGTAGCCCTGAACCATGTAGTCCAGAACACGAAACCAAAACCTACCTGAAACCACCCTTCAATATATCGACTCCACAGCCCGTCTCATGCCAGGGGCGCGAATCTCTCTGGCGTCAAGACTCGTCGGATCTTGGCCACTTTCCCTGTCAAAGAACTTACCTTTGGTTAGTACGGAATGGAGGAATGGGGTACAAGTATAACTACTATTTACTACCACATTACTACCATATTACTATCATATTACTAGAATATTATTGCTATATAACTACTATTACTACAATTCTTCCATTCCCTACTAGCCAAAGGTAAGAGGGAATCCGGAGCTCCGGTCTTCCGAGGTCTTTGGAAAGCACATGCACCGGCCTCTAGAGCTGAATAGGGTTCTGGCTACATTCAATCAAAGGGGAAAAGGAGGGACCCTTAATGGGGACCCCTACCCTATAATGGGCTATATAATGGGTATATAGTGACTCTATTAAGGGTATATACCTAGGGATCCTATTAACGGTCCCTCCTTTTACCCTTGGATTCAAGTGTAGCTTTATTGGCAGCCCCAGGGCATAAGATTATGCATGTGTGAAAAAGCTAGGGAACTGTAGAACTCCCTTAACCCATTCAGCCCGGAGCATTGAGGGAGAGAATAGGAGCCTGTAGATCGTGCTAGGTCCGACGGGTACAGAGATAAAGGGTGGTTGTCAAAACTATGGTCCCTTTTTGGGTCCCTATTATAATCCGGCACCCATTATTTAGGGTACCCAAAAAGGGACCCTAATTTTGACAACCACCCAAAGAGCCTTCGACCCTCCAGTTGCGCATAGTCGGATCCGCGCGTCGGCGAAGGGTTGCTGCGACGCTTTCAGAAGTTGTGCCTGGTTTTGCCCTCACAATTCAACCATTCAAACAGTGTCCTATGGCATTCTGGATCGGTCGGAATTTCATGGTCTTCCGGCCACTGTAATTCCGAGCAGCGACAAGACCAGTGGAGTCACCAACCTTCATTTGCATGAGAACCCCTGCCGCGCTGGGGGCAAGACAGCAAAGCCACACCATTGTTACGCCAAAGATGCTGCACACGAGGACTTTCCTGATCCGTGCTGGAAGCAGAGGCAGAAGGGGCACGACGCACGGCTAGAGCTGCAGAGCGCTGCCTTCCCATGATTCCTGGAAGCCTAGACCCCGAGCCTGTGACTGCAACTAACCCGTGCCAAACGGACAAAACCACCCCTAGAAGAAACCTGGGGCCGGTGCCCCTTCATGTCAAAGAGGAGACAGACCTGGGTCTCCGAGGAAGACAACGGTGTCACACTCAAACTCCGTGGTTCCGGTTTGGGTTCAGCATCTGCTGAATGTCACGACTTAGCCTCAATGATTCCGAGCCTTAAAACCAACAAACTCCGAATCCCCTAAACCCTAAACCCTAAACCCTAAACCCTAAACAAGCAGAGACATCTATGACACGAGCAAGAAGCCCGGGCTTTGGAACCACTGCCTCGAGCCAACATCTGAGAGAATCCGAAAATAGGGGACCCCAATATAGTACCCTCAATAGTAGGGTCCTTATTATAAGGACCCCCAAATAAGATACCCCCTAATTTCGGAAACTCCCATATGTTCCTTGAAACCTGCAAAGAACCTGTCAAGCTCAAGGCTGCCTTCTCGAAAGAAGTCCTTAATCCTTGACCCTGAAGCGCAAGGTCACTGACAGCCTGAAACCCAAACCGACCCTGCAAAGTCATGAATAATTTAAGCTGCAACCCACCAGATGCTAAGTACAAGGAACTGACTGCCACAAGTAAGGTGGGAAAGCCGTGTCGTTTAAGGCACGTGGTGTAAAAGTCCACCGGGGGCGGACTGAACTCGAACTCTAAACACTGCGGCACGATGCAGGGGGTCCTTTTGGAGTAATTGTGAGAAGCTCGGTAATTAAGCCATGAGCCCACAACCGGCAATACTGCTGCAGGACAAAACCCAATACTGTCCAGACTAAAGAATACACCGTTGTTTCCACCGTTTAGTGCACCTTCTTCGGGTAACGCAGAATTGTGTGCGTCGACAATACAAAACCGCTTCGCAAAGCTAACTCCGGGTCTTCCAGCCAGGAGAATGCAGGAGAGGAAGTAGCAGATAAGGCCGAAGAAGAAAAACCTAAGCAAAGGCCGCAGGGTCAGAGATTCTCTGGAGTGTCTGAGACCGAGACATCTATGTTTTACTGCTAGAATCCAAACCTTGCATCAGTCACATGACGGTTGTCAGTATTAAACAAGGGGTGCAGGGTTGGGTGATGCAAGACGTCCTCCATCCACCGTGGCATTATGGCGAGTACGATTGCTGCAACAGCGCCTGCTGCCTGCTGCGACTCCTTTCGCACTGCTGTCCTGCAGCTGCTGCTTTTGCTACCACCACTACGAGGCACTCCTGCATCTAGTAGTCGTGGTAGCAATACTGCTCATCGTGGTGCTGGTGGTGGTAGTGGTGGTGGTGGTGGTGATGCCGCTGCTGAGTGGTGCTGGTGCTTCCTCGTGGTGAGGGTGGTGGTGGTTGCTGTGGTGGAGATGGCAGGTAGCCGTAATCTTCGCGTCGAAGTCGTCGCCGTTGTCGTCGTACAGGCAACAGGAAACGGCGGGGGCGGGTTGAAGCGGCAAGAACGATCCTGGACCCACGACTTAGGGACTTAGTGTAGGGGCTTTGTAATTAGAACAGGGTTCTGGTGGTTCCTGATTATAACTAGTTAGAATATAATGTACCCCCCCAAACCTATCCTAATTGAGACCCCTACATTAAAGTGCCCCTTGAGAGTCAGGTAGGGTAAAATGAGCTCCGGGCAGCTCCATCGTCCGTCGTGCCACTTCCTTGGAAGTTGCTCGTGAAAGTGCACTGGTTGGTAGGTACTGGGTCATCGCGAAGTGCAGTCAAGAGTTGTCAACATCAGCACACCACCTCATCATCATCAACAACAGCTGCATCATCACCATCCTTATGCATCATCGGCATCATCATCATCATCATCATCTTCAGGCTCCTGAGCTTCACCACGTTTAACGCAACGGGTGGCCAGCTGGGAAGAGCCCACAACGGCTGCCGCGACAGAAACAGGCAAACCTCATCATTAAGAGAGCGTCGCAATCCACATGACCCTTGCCATCAGCCATGTCCAGCAATGCCCACACTGCCGAGAACAGAGAGAAAATACACAGCACTAGACGCTATCGTTATATACACACACTGGGACATAGTGGATTCTAATTATTGTCATTATTATTAAGGCCCCTATATTATAGAACCCTACTATAGATCCCTTGAGGATTACTCAAAACATGCTACAACCTCCACGAGCCCAAGAGCCAGGTGGCGATGCCTTCCTGTAAGATCTTCAGCCGAAGGGGTTATGAACACGCCTTATAATGTGCTATATTAACGGTTTAGAATAGCTATATTAAGGGTATATATAATAGCTATATTGAGGGTATATATATATATATATATGTAATAGCTATATGAAGGGTATATATAATAGCTATATGAAGTGTATATAATAGATATATCAAGGGTATATACCTAGGGGTCCTTTTTCAGTCCAACGAGA